AACAAGGCTGAGGAGGCCCGACCAGTACTGCAGATTGAAGACAAAACGAAAGCGCACCAACCTTGCGCATTACCTCAATAAAAAGCTGTGATTTTATGAAAATGTGATGTATACTCACAAACAAAGCAGTATAACAAGCGTATAAAATCCTAAAAGGAACATTGAAGTGTAAGACGAGTGCGAATCACATCAAGAGGGGAGACTCTCAAAGTTCATCTGACGCATTACGAAGGGGAGTCCCTTCTTCCTCAGAACTAACAAAACCATGAGTGGCCTCTTCTCTATATCGTACAACTAAGAATAAGCCCTCCTAAATGGGCTGGGCAGTCCTAACAAAGAAGGAGGGGCATAGGTGTCAGAACAAACATGCTAAACAAAATAGAATGATATGGAACCATTTAGCAACATTGTAAACATGTCTATTAAATAGATATATATTTTTTTTATTTCTTATACCATCAATACCATCAGCTGTACTGATTCACATCATACGTTTGTGCACTAATGGTATAAAAAAAAAATAAATAATAATAAAAATAAAATATATATATATATATATTGTTTAATACTATCAGTGCACAAACGTATTGTTGATGATGTGAATCAGTACAGCTGATGGTATAAGCACTAGTGCGCATGTGCGAAAAAAAAAAAAAATATATATATATATATTATTATTATGATTATTTCAGGTACTTATATAGCGCCATCAATTACGCAGCGCTTTACATATATATTGTACATTCACATCAGTCCCTAACCCTCAAGGGGCGTACAAAAATCTAAATATATATATATATATATATTAGATATGTTTACAATGTTGTTAAATGGTTCCATATCATTCTAATTTGTTTAGCATGTTTGTAGCCCCCCCCACCAAAAAAAAAAACACACAGTTTACTATGCTGCAGTTATGAATGAACACATTAAGTGATTGGTACTGATCACACATTGTGTTCATTCAGGAAGAAAAGGAGCTGGTAAATGTGATATATTTACATATTTTTATGTAAGTTGAAGTCCTTAGGCTTAAAAAGTGTAGTCTTTAAATAGGTAGAAAACTGGTGTGAAGACTGTTTTCACAGGGTAATGATTCATACTCTGAATGGTCTGAGGTTATTAGTGGTGTACACCAAGGTTCAGCATTGGGACTTTTACTTTTTAACCTATTTAAAATTATATAGATTTGGGGATTAAAAGTGCCATTTTAGTGTTTGCAGATGACACCAAGCTATGCAATAGAATAAGGTTCTTACAGTCAACCTCAATGCACAGCTGACCTCAATTCACTATTTATTTCGGCACCTATGTGGCAAATGAGGTTTAATGTTGATAAATGTAAAGTTATGCACTTGGGGGCTAAAAACATACATGCATAATACATAGTAGGAGGAGTACAACTGGGAGAATCAATAGTCGAGAAGGACCTTGGTGTTCGGGTAGATCACAGACTTAATGCAGCATTAAACCCATAAGCATACATTTATTATATTGCAGCTTACTAATTTTTAGATATGATAGCTGCATTTGTTTTCTTTTGTTTAGGCTTTCTTCCTTCTATTTTCACCTGGTGATCCAGCCAGTAAGTCTGTTGTTTTTCAAAGGAACAAGGTTCTCTTCCAGTGTTTACAGGGATGAGACAAACCATTTAACAATGGTAGTGGTGTTTACAATGATCAACTTTTATTTATTCATGTAAAACCTTTATCCCAAAAGGGAAAAAAACTGTTTGCTATAACTAAATATACAGTGTGATTGAAGTGTTTGGCTTCAATATGTTAGTGTACAGTGCATCCAGAAAGTATTCACAGCACTTAACTTTTGCCACATTTTGTTATGTTACAGCCTTATTCCAAAATGGATTAAATTCATTTTTTCCCTCAACATTCTACAAACAATATTCCATAATGACAACGTGAAAGAACTTCATTTTGAAATATTTGCAATTTATTAAAAATGAAAAATGTAAAAACCACACGCACGTAAGTATTCACAGCCTTTGCCATGACACTCAAAATTGAGCTCTGGTGCATCCTGTTCCCACTGATCATCCTTGAGATGTTTCCACAACTTGATTGGAGTCCACCTGCAGGAAATTCAGTTGATTGGACATGATTAGGAAAGGCATAAACCTGTCTATATAAGGTCCCACAGGTAACAGTGCATGTCAGAGCGCAAACCAAGCCATGAAGTCCAAGAAATTGTCCGTAGACCTCCGAGACAAGATTGTATCAAAACACAGATCTGGAAAAGGGTACAGAAAATTTTCAGCAGAATTGAAGGTCCCAATGAGCACAGTGGCCTCCATCATCCGTAAATGGAAGAAGTTTGGAACCACCAGGAATCTTCCTAGAGTTGGCAAAAATGAGCAATCGAGGGAGAAGGGCCTTAGCCAGGGAGGAGGTAACCAAGCAACTGATGGTCATGCTGAAAGAGCTCCAGCATTTCTCTGTGGAGAAGGAGAGCCTTCCAGAAGAACAACCATCTCTGCAGCACTTCACCAATCAGGCCTGTATGGTAGAGTGGCCAGACGGAAGAAAAAGGCAAATGGCAGCCTGCCTGGAATTTGCCAAAAGGCACCTGAGGGACTCTCGGACTATGAAAGAAAAACTCTCTGGCCTGATGAAACAAAGATTGAACTCTTTGGCGTGAATGCCAAGTGTCATATCTGGAGGAAACCAGGCACTGCTCACCACCTGGCCAATACCATCCCTACAGTGAAGCATGGTGCTGGCAGCATCATGCTGTGGAGATGTTTTTCAGTGGCAGGAACTGGGAGACTATTCAGGATCGAAGGAAAGATGAATGCAGCAATGTACAGAGACATCTTTGATGAAAACCTGTTCCAGAGCGCTCTGGACCTTAGACTGGGGCAATGGTTCATCTTTCAAAAGGACAATAACCCTAAGCACACAGCCCACATAACAAAGGAGTGGCTACGGGTCAACTCTGTGAACGTTCTGAAGTGGCCCAGACAGAGCCCGGACTTAAACCCGTTTGAACATCTCTGGAGAGATCTGAAAATGGCTGTGCACCGACGCTTCCCATCCAACCTGATGGAGCTTGAGAGGTCCTGCAAAGAAGAATGGGAGAAATTGCCCAAAAATAGGTGTGCCAAGCTTGTAGCATCATACTGAAAACGACTTGAGGCTGTAATTGGTGCTACAGGGGCCGCAACAAAGTATTGAGCAAAGCCAGGGAATACTTATGTACATGGGGTTTTATTCATTTTTTATTTTTCAATAAATTGCAAAGATTTCAAAACAAACTTCTTTCACGTTGTCATTATGGGGTATTGTTTGTAGAATGTTGAGGAAAAAAAATAAATTTAATCCATTTTGGAATAAGGCTGTAACAGAACAAAATGTGGCAAAAGTTAAGCGCTGTGAATACTTTTTGGATGCATTGTATTTAAATCTACTAATACATCTTGCACTCCCCCCCCCCCGAATGACAATGCTGCTGTCTGTTGTACTTCCTGTGCTGATTTATCCAGAGTGGGGGAACTCTAATACAGAAGGTGAAGACAGAGGGAGAAATGCAAAAAAAAACTAATGTAGCCATCACATCTAACGATTGGTTAGCTGCAATATATTACATTTTTGGTTTTGGGTTTGATGCCATTTTAAAAGTGAACTTCAGGTAAGAACTGTATTGCATATTTACATTGGTCCAGCTTGGCATGATGAAAGTATGCATATTTCATACCTTTTAGACTGCATGCTGGGGAAGCTGACAATCAATGATGCAGTAGTCAGCTCTAGTACAGTGATAGCCTTGATCTCCTGCTCAGGATCTGAGAGTGAAGCTTGTTTAAATATTAAAGCTAAGTAAAGTTAACTTTAAAAGATTTGCAATTTCTGAACTCAGTAAATAATCTATAATGCCTGTGTATTCATGTAATTTCTTTTACCAGCCGTAAACAGTATGTAAATTCAAAGAAATAAATGGGAAACTGTGGCTGATTGAACTGATCATGGGAATTCTGAAACAATTAATTTTCTTGGTAGAGTCTGATATTGAGGTGTGCATTCCACTGATTCAATCAAAATTCAATTCAGTGGTTCCTATGTAAGAAATTATGTTTGGAATGTTGATAATCAGACTTTTTTCAGGACTGACCGCTATCCAGAGACTGATGTACAGGAATATGCAGCTAATAAAACACTTCAAAGCAACTTCAAAGTAAACACGACCATACATTATAATTTCCCAGGAAGATGAAGAAGAACCTTCATCGCTGAGGAGAAATACAAAAATGACTAACATGATGTTTTTATTATGTTTAAATCTTTGATATAATATTTTCATCCCTGAGGACAAACAAATGTTACATAGTTTGAATTTTTAATCCTGTTTTGAAAGACAAAGTTTGCCTAAAAGGTTGATGGAGATGGTGGCTATCCCCCATAACATTGTAAAAAAGGGATCAGCTGGAAATCCAGGCAACTAGTCTTGAAGTTAAGGTAAAAAATGGCAGCTTTGGGGTGGACTTAATCTGCGATGTGCAGCGAACATGGCACCCACTTCCGTTTTCTTAATCTACTTTCTTCAACCTATGTTTCCTTCTTTCTCCCACCTTCTCCAGTCCTTCTCACTCCATCTTCCCTTCTTCTTACAAAGTTTCCCTTTCCTCCCCCCTCCCCCCTTTTATTTCTTTTATCATTCCTTATGCTTTGGTGATGCATGAGTCTCCTCTACTTTTCAAGCATGTGCACTGTTCTTGCTGTCATTGGGGCTTTCTGAGTATAATACTGAGATTGTGGTACTATCACTATCCAGAGGGTACCCCTGGAACTCATCTCTGACTGTTTATTCTCTTAATTTATCTCAAAGTGATTTCAGTTTTTGTTTTTCTTTTGTCATTATATTTTGGTTTTGTATTTTCCTAACATGTACACTATATTGCAAAAGTATTGGGCCCCCCCTCCAAATAATTGGATTCTGGAGTTCCAATCACCTCCATGGTCACAGGTGTATACAATCATCACCTAGGCATGCAGACTGCTTCTACAAACATTTGTGAAAGAATGGGTCGCTCTCAGGAGCTCAGTGACTCCAAGTGTGGTACCGTGATAGGTTGCCACCTGTGCAATAAGTCCATCCGTGACATTTCCTGGCTACTAAATATTTCACGGTCAACTATTAGTGGGATTATAACAAAGTGGAAGCAACTGGAAACAACAGCAACTTAGCCACCAAGTGGTAGGCCACGTAAAATGACAGAGCGGGGTCAGAGCATGTTAAATCGCACAGTGTGCAGAAGTTGCCAACTGTCTGCAGAGTCAATAGCTAAAGACCTCCAAACTTCATGTGGCCTTCAGATTAGCACAACAACAGTGCGTAGAGAGCTTCATGGAAGCTGCATCCAAGCCTTACATCACCAAGTGCAATGCAAAGAGTCAGATGCAGTGGTATAAAGCACGCCGCCACTGGACTCTAGAGCAGTGGAGACGTGTTCTCTGAAGTGACCAATCACGCTTCTCTGTCTGGCAATCCGATGGACGTGTCTGGATTTGGCAGTTGCCAGGAGAACGGTACTTGCCTGACTGCATTGTGCCAAGTGTAAAGTTTGGTGGAGGGGGGGATTATGGTGCCGGGTTGTTTTTCAGGGGTTAGGCTTGGCCCCTTGGTTCAAGTGAAGGGAACTCTTAAGGCATCAGTATAACAAGACATTTTGGACAATTTCATGCTCCCAACTTTGTGGGAAGAGTTTGGGGATGGCCCCTTCCTGTTCCAACATGACTGCACCCCAGTGCACAAAGCAAGGTCCATAAAGACATGGATGAGCGAGTTTGGGGTGGAGGAACTTGACTGGCCTGCACAGAGTCCTGACCTCAACCTGATAGAACACCTTTGGGATGAATTAGAGCAGAGACTGTGAGCCAGGCCTTCTCATCCGACATCAGTGCCTGACCTCACAAATGTGCTTCTGGAAGAATGGTCAAACCTTCCCATAGACACCCTCCTAAACCTTGTGGACCTCCTAAGCCTTCCCAGAAGAGTTGAAGCTGTTATAGCTGCAAAAGGCGGGGCTAACTCAATATTGAACCCTATGGACTAAGAATAGGATGCCATCAAAGTTCATGTGCGTATAAAGGCAGGTGTCCCAATAATTTGGCAATATAGTATATATGTTCTGGTTTGGACCCTCCAAGAACGGTTGGCTGGTCTGTAATGGCCCATGGACTATCTTGAGGACTCTAGTATTGGTTATGATATCTTGATAACCTATTTTGTTATGTTTGTTGTATTTTTTTCTGTACCCATTTTCTAATAAAAATATTATGGAAAAAAAATGGCAGCCTACCTATTTTTACAGTACAGGTCTCTTTGAGTGCTCAGACTGGGTCATAGGCTTGTTTCATATTAGCCAAAGTGTGGCTAAGCAGCTGCTGTTTGGCATTCGGAATGCAATCCTGCCACATCCTAAATGCCTGTTATGTCTTTTTTTTATAATGAGGCTAATGTGCTGCAAACACAAGCTAAGCATTTGTCCTCATTGACTTGAATGGCTACGTTTGACAGCCGGTGCCACCTTTCAAGTCAGCAATAAATTTTCTGTGACTGCAATGCAAAGCATTGTGGAATGTAACCCCCCTCCAGATGTATTTTACGCTTTCAGTGGGCATCCAGGTGGTGATAAAACTGTGGCTCAGCTGCTTGTTTTTACTGCCCCCTCAGCCACCCCTATGAAGAGGCCATTGTCCGTGTGCTGCAAATATACAATACATATTGTATGTGTAGCAGGCTCAACTTGAGAAAGGGTGCAGTTGCTCAAGAGTGTGCTTAGTGTAACTTCTGGTTCATTAGGCCTCATTCACACCTTAGTGTTTTGTAATTCCCAACTTGAAGCTCCAAAACGACCATCATGCAAAATCCTAATTTCAGTTGTGGTTGTTCATATATGACCACTTAGATGCATTTAGCTCAATGCCTGGTGCAACAAAAGCTACATTAGCTACTTTTGAGGTATAATTGGTTGTAGTGGCTCCATAGATTTGAATGGGAATGCCTGAAAACACACAAACCAAGCATTTTTACACATTTTTTTCCAAGTGTTTTTTTAGCTTGTAAGAGCAGATCTGATCTCCTCACCTTAGTGCTTTCCTTTGGCTAAATAAAAACACCTGAAACTTGAATACCCATGTAAAACACTTTAAATATGTTTATATATATAAAAAAAAGCATAGAAACAATAAAAAATACAGATAAAGGAAAATATAAAACTGCAGTGAGCGCTCTCAATAATTAGCAGCTGAACATTCAAGGAAAACGCATAAAAGTCCCAAGAAATATATATATGTAAAATGCAGCGCTATTAATATATCATAAGTGGTTGTGGTGGTATTAATAAATGAATAATAAAACACAGTCCAGTAAAAGGTGCTCGTTGATTCCCGGTGCAAATGGTAGAAATGCGCACTAACCAGAAACGTATGGGTAATACACATGTGAGTAAATATCCTGAAGATTCCCCTCTCCTTTCTGGTCTGATCCCGGGAAAAACTGGAAAGAATGAAGATCAAGCGCCCTCGTGTGGTGAAGATGTGGTTCGGCAGGTCAGAGAAATCTTTGCCAAGATGTAGTTCCCCCTCTCAGGAGATGACACAGGAATCACTCAGGGCTGTAAAGGTTGAAGAAGCTTAAAAGTTAGCTTCAGGCAGAAATTTGACCTTCACCTTCATTCACAATGTTTTCATGTCTGGGGAGTAATTAGTCACACCCATCAAGTCTGATGCTAGAGTCCATGGACATATTACCCATACGCTTCTGGTTAGTGCGCATTTCTACCATTTGCACTGGGAATCAACGAGCACCTTTTACTGGACTGTGTTTTATTATTATTATTCATTTATTAATACCACCACAACCACTTATGATATATTAATAGCGCTGCATTTTACATATAAAAATAAAAAATACACCTAAATCCACCTGGAAATTGTTTTGCTCAGGCATGCATGCAGCTTTCCAGTGTATGTAAGACAGAATTTTCTCCTAAATGGAGGAGGTAAACCAGAGGAACTTTGAATCAGTAATACCGGGGATTTATCAAGCTGGACCCCATGATTGTAAATCCTCTTCTAAGACAACTGTGCTTAGCCTAAATGTTAATTAACAATAGGCATCACCTCCCCAATTCTATCTTCATTTGCACAACATGCTCAAACCAGCTTCTATGGAAGAAACTCACTTTCCCAAGTTTCTCTAGCAATATTCAACAGCTTCCCTGGATGCCTCCCATACAGAGAACCATGTGAACGACTGTGAGTTCTCTTTGATAGCAAACATCAAGTCAGCTACTACACAGTCCTGATGGTACCTTGAAGTATGTAATTGCGCCACCTTAAGTAATTTGAAAGGCTCTTTAGTTACCCAATGCATAAATGGGATACCCTGGTCTGTAAGGACTTCTTTGGGAAGGCCTATCCAGCCAAACACCAGGAACAGATCTTGGCTATTGTTTTGACCAAGGTGCTTCAAAGAGGAATCACTTTCCGATAAAGGGTGGCATAGGCTATTATCACTAGAATATGTTAATGCCCCCTAGCAGACTTCAACAAAGGACGGATCAAATCCATCGAGATCCTCTCAATAGGGACCTCAATGATGTGTACTACCTGTACTACACCAGGAACAGATCTTGGCTATTGTTTTGACCAAGGTACTTCAAAGAGGAATCACTTTCAGATAAAGGGTGGCATAGGCTATTATCACTAGAATATGTTAATGCCCCCTAGCAGACTTCAACAAAAGACTGATCAAATCCATGGAGATCCTCTCAATAGGGACCTCAATGATGTGTACCACCTGCCTGGAGTTTGCATGTTCTCCCTGTGCCTGCGTGGGTTTCCTCCGGGTACTCTGGTTTCCTCCCACACTCCAAAGACATGCTGTTAGGTTAATTGGCTCCTGTCTAAATTGTCCCTAGTATGTGTATGTATGAATGTAAGTTAGGGACCTTAGATTGTACACCCCTTGAGGGTTAGGGACTGATGTGAATGTGCAATATATATGTAAAGCGCTGCGTAAATTGACGGCGCTATATAAGTACCCAAAATAAATAAAATAAATGTGTAGGAGAAACAAAGGTAAAAGGAAATGTTTCATTGGTGCAGACATCTGACACACAGGGCTGGAAGAACAGTACAGGCAGTCCCCGAGTTAGAAACATCCGACTTATATACAACTTGTACTTAGGAATGGAGACAGCAAGACGGCCCCGGAAACTGCCGAGTGGCCATCTTGCTGCTCACCGCATGCCTTCACCTACTGTCCAACGCATCTATCAGCAATCCCACATCACTGCATGGTCAGCTAACCCATCTCTATGCTATCCAAAACGTAAAAATATTTTTTTGGCTGGAGTTACACCTAAAAAAAATGTACCTGTTCCAAAATACAAATTAAACTTAACAACAAACCTCCAGAACCTACATTGTTCATACATTTCTACCTTCTTGGAAACCCCAGGCCAATAGAATCTCTGTACTATTCATTCTGATTTTCTCTGTCTCTTGGAATGTACCCCATGGCCCATTTCCAATATCAATTTCCAGTAAGTTTTGGGAACCACCAGTTACTCAATAGGTTCCTCCCCCTTTTGTGACACCCTGTATAATAAATTCCTTTTAATTATAAAGTAGATGAGGGCAGCCCTCCTGTCTGGGTTAACTAGTTCTTCATCTGTTATAACCACATCATTTTTACAACCTGGAACTTTATCAGATTGGAAACCTTCAGTTGTTCCCTAACCGCTTCTTCCAGACAATGGAGTCCCCACAGTTCTCTCTTTTTCACTCTCTCCACACCGCACCATGGTACCTTACCTGTAGCTGGGGGGATGGTTTGATCTTTAAGAGTAAAGTTCATGCATTTCTGAGAGAGGTAGTTGGGTTCTATGTGGCTAAGTACCTTTCAGCCAGGTCCACAATTTTTTCAGCTGTTTCCAAACCACCATTGCTCACTCTTGTTTGAATAGAACTAGAGAAGGAGCTCCAAAACCAGTCCACGATCACGTTTCACAATTTGTGGATCTGACAAGGCCTCTGGCTGCAGCCGCTTCCTGGTCAAATAGATGAGGTTTGTGATCTGGGCAATTTTCCAAGATAAATTCAGTAGTGAACATGGTAAGCTTGGACAGCCAAGGTTACACCCACCTGTGCAAATATTTCTGCCCCAGTACAAGTATAGTCCCTTGTTTCCACAGATTCCTGGTCATAGTTGGCCTTTTGGGATTCTCCAGAAAATATTGGGACCACCAGTTCTGTCTACTGTTCTTCAGGCCAACTTTTGCTTTTACCTCTGGATCATGATCTTCAAACACCTTTGTCAATAATTAGCTTTCTTGGAAAGCTTGTGGTTGGTATGCAAG